TAAATATTGTCTTCATATTTAGGTTCTATTTTAACATCGAAAACAGCTTTAAGCAAAATATTACGCTGGGTTTAGTAATTTTAGTTTATTTGAATATGGTATTATTTGAATAAGTACTTAGAGGATGGATGCCTGCGCGAAGAACTTTCTAAGGAAACTAGCTCGTATTTACGTTACGCGTGGAGAAAATCACGAAGTTCAAATATACAGGTTGCCTGATAGAACCTGGGTTGTACTCCCAGCAATCGGCTATCTTATTCTCTCAGCTACTGCTGCGGCTCATCTTCGGGCATGGTGAACTTTGCGTAAACCAGTTCTCAAACATCGAGTTGCTGTTGCTTGCTGAGATCTTTTGAGACAAACATGCATTACTGTAATGAAACAGCTAGTTTTCAACCATCCACTTGGAAAATAACGCGCATTATGTTAATGAAATAACTAGTTTTCAATCATCTACTTACTGAGATATCTTGAGACAAACATGCATTGCTGAGATCTTTTGAAACAAATGTCGTTTTACAATGACCTTTAACACCACATTAAGAAAAACACCCTGTTCGCTACCTGAACTGGGAGGGTGAATTATTGGTTCATAATCCTCTTCTTTTTGATGAACAATTATTAACATTACGTTTATTCCGCACTTAGATTTCTTTAGCAGCTGCTAGTCTTCGAACAGTTTGAGTTTTTCACTATGAGGCATGCTGTTACGACTGATAAAATTTGTTATGAATTAAGCTAACTTTAATTACCTGCAATGATCAAGGACTTCGAGTGAAAAAGTATGCAAACTACATTGTAACTAAAAAGACTCAGGAGCATACAGCTCTTGAGATCGAAAATAAATGGTGACAAAGAATATTGGTCTGATGTCCTTCGTATTTTATTAATTCTGACTCCCTGTAATCCCCCCTAAATTGAGCTCTAACTCCTTATAATGATCAAGGACTTCGAGTGAAATCTTAAAGTAAGCAAACTACACTTCAACTAAAAGACTTCTAGGAGTATACAGCTCTTGAGATAGACAATAAGCGGTGACAAAGAATATTAATTTCATGTCCTTCGTCTCTTATTTTTCATTCACATTAATTGTTTCATGTGTATCTTAGATTAAATTTTCTGGTACCTATACAGGTACTGGGATAGAGAATATATAGATATAAATATGTTTGATGATGTGCAGAAAAATAGAAATTACAAGAAATTCATTTATAAGTTTTAAATATCTTCAGGCACACCTAGTAGCCAGGAGTATATTTCAAAAAGGAAGGTAACATAATTGAAAAAGAATCAAGTACAGGTTGAGTCGACTTTACCCAGCCCGGGAATCGAGCCCCGGACCTGTGGTACTACTGCGGGATGCGCTAGCCATTGCACCACCGAGCCACAATTTTAATTAAAGTAAGTTAATTAATGATTAATTAAATATTTGAAAGAAATGACGGTCTGAAAATTTAATCTTTAAGCTGTCAATATATTTGAATTACGATGTGTAACCACCAAAGGTTTCTCACAGGCACAAAATTTTAGATTTTATTAGAAAATAAATACTATAAATCTGATTTTTTCCTATTTGGGTTAGTATTACTGTTATTATTAGTAGTAGTTTTGATAAATATTTAGTAAGTGATATTTAAATTTAAATAAAATACTTTTTTATTCTGGTTATAAAAAATTTCACTATTTTTGAGATTGGGGAAAGCTGGCCCGTTGGCTGTTTTTAGATTTCACATTTTAGGTTCGCATGTAATTTGAGTTGAGAATACTGTCCTATACTTTCTCATAAGTGTACCACATAGTTTTTATATTTACTTGAATGTGATTATCAATGTTATGTTAGTTAAAAAATTATTTCTTACCTTTTTGTACATCCCCCCCAAAAATGTGCCATTTAAAAAGTTTTTACGTGTAATTTATTTTATATTTTTTCAAGCTATCGAATGAGGAAAAATTATAAGGAAAGAAAATCTTGCATCTGAATCCAGGAAAACCGTTGCTAATAATCAGCATAACAATGACGTACGCATGATGTCATCTTCCTTTTTTCGGCTGTGCCTTTTTCCAAGGTCTTCCAATAAACCCGATGTCGCAAGATTGTATTCAAGTCATTTAAATTTTTATTTGAATTAGATATTCGATCTGATCAATGGTTAAATTCGTAAGTCTGCTTTCTACCTATGAATTTTTAAACCTCTTAATTTGAAAATACCTTTCTTAAGCAGACACGATAGCTTGGAAACTGTCGAAATTTGTTTTTGGTCTTCCACCGATGAAATATCAAAATTTTGCTATGTTGAGTTTTACCATTAAGAAAAGGTATAATGGGTGATCCAAAAGTACTGAGAGCATCGAGATCGTACTGAGAAAACGAGATCGAAATGTTAGAGTGCGCTTTATACCCCGGATATAAAAATGATATATTTAAAAATAAGGAAATGATAAGTATACAAAAATTTGATTTCTACATGTACCTAAATGCTGTTACTGGCGATTCTGGTGATTTCCTTGGACCTAATTCGCAACATTTTCTTCTAGGATAAGCCTTCCGTTATTCTTTCCGTAAAGCACATTCATTATTTAGCATATTAATTATTGTGATATCATTTTTCTTTCACTCTTGGAGCTTTCATCGGTACCAAACACCCTTGCACCAGCACGAGTCCCGGTAAATATTGCATCAAAGAAAACTTTACTTCCCAAAATATCGGTGCTCGCGACAAAAATCGTGCTGCTGCAAGGGTCGTGCTAAAACTGAATGACTTTGCATTAGAATTCAGCATTACGTTTGCTTCGTATGGCAGAAGCCAAATTTACTACTGCGAATAAAAGAAACACTAGATCAACTGTATTTCAGCTAAAGCAAATACGATTTACTAAAGCCTTCGATGTTCACTTCAAAATCATGGCTTCAAATGACTACAGAGAGAGAAAACATCTGACTCTTAGTTCCGCGAATTCATTCGGATCGGAAGTACATTCATATCCCAAATTATTTCCCTTTTTCTTGAAACCCTAGAATAACATTCTTGTGCACTCCTGCATTGAGTATAACCCATCCTTTTTGTAGAACAATCTGCTCAAGCATTTCTCGCGCACGCATATTGTCTTATTGAAAGCTCGTATGTCTATGTTGTCTTATTGAAAGCTCATGTGTTTTATTGAAAGCTCATATGATTATTAAGTCATATGTCTCCTATGAACTAATGTTTTAATTTTATAATATCATGATTTAATTGAATCACTATTTCCCTTAATATTTTTTTTTATTTAAAGGAATCCTCTCAAGTGTATAAACATGTTCTTCATATTTAGTCTGAGTATAGGGCCCGAAATTCAAGCGCCTGAAATTCCAATTGCATTTATATCGAATGTCCGATCTAAAAGCAGTTGACCCGTCAATTTTTTTAATAAAATATTTTTTAACAACTTCATTTAAAAAAAAAGCTATTACCTATTATACATTAAAAAAAAACATACACAGACAGTTATAATAATGACGCAAAGGAAAAAAATCCTATTTTTTTTATTTATTTTCTCTCTGAATATATTTTCTGCAAGAAATATCTGTTGGTTACGCTTTAGAATTCAATCATATTGAGCTAAATGTTAAATTTTAAGTTGAATTTCAAATAATTATACTACGTTGAATTAATCACTGAATAATTTATTTTTTTAATTTAAATAAATTACGAAAATTTTCTAGGTGGGGCAAAATTTGAGAATAAATAACAACCTATTACCTTTCTTTTATTTATTAAACTTTTCTTTGATGTATACAGAAGAAGTACATATACTTGTATGTAAATAATTATAAATTTCTTTGTTTCTCATTACAACTTTCAGCTATAACATCTCATGGAGTTTCAATTTCGAAATCTTTCGTGACTGTGGGAAAAAATTATTAGAATCACAAATTACTTTATCCTGAATTACAGATGCTCATCAGTTAGACTGGATCATTTTTTAAACCGGATCTTTTTTATAACCGAATCTTTTTTAAACTGGATCTTTTTTTATAATTTTTTAGTAATAATTTTTATGCGAAAACAATTTGTTTACACGAAAAAAATGTGGTCATAAAGGAAAGGATTATTCTCGCTGCAAAAATTTCGTACCTGTATCTTTTGACAAGTGAAAAGAAAAAATGCTAATGAAATCTGTTTCTTCAACTATATTTGAATAAGATTTATATCCCACTTTAAAATAATTAGCTCCATTTGTGGATTTTCTAGGCATCGTTTGTTTCTTATGTCAAGGAAAATAATGTAAAATTGGCCTGAAAATAGTTCGTATCTTAAAATTTTCTTCAAATTCTTGCCATAATAATTAATGTCATAATAATGGTAATTAACTTGTTAATCTAGGAAATTTATTCGCGAGACGTTTAAAATTGTTTCGGGAACCGCCAGTTTGACACCACTGCCTTAATTGATTTTTTTAACGCGAATGTTTTTTTTTGGGGGGGGATCTAACTTGCGTGTTATAAGAGATTCATCTGTTTGTGTATATTCCCGATTCTTGCATTATCTAATATTGGAAAAAAAAAAAAGAGTTCGATTTGGCAGAAGTTTACGCAGAACAAGCAAGATACACGTCTAAAGAACATTTCACTGCTTACGTAGCACTAATGATTTATTTGAGAAGTAAAAGAAAAAAGATAATCAATACACCTCTCTCTTACTGGACATCATCGTCTGATTCTTCAGTCACGAAACTACCTACACCTAATAGTATTAGATCTGAAAAGACACGTAGAGGATAAAAAATAAGAAAGAAAAGAAAAATATCCTATCAAATGGCGCTTTGGAAAAAAAGAAGAAAAGAATACCCTAAAAGAAATGAATCGGAAAAGAAAAAGGAAGAACTGAAAAACACTCAATCGATCCCGACGAGAAATTCAAAAGTCTAGCGACAGAGGGCGCAATCGCCGGCTGCACAACTCCGCCTATCCACGGCACGTCACGTGTCATGTGATGCAGCGCTAGTCCCTGCACACCATCCTACCTCCCGCTACCAACAAACCAGCAGCCCAAGCAGGCACTTGACTATCTACTTCGGGCGCAGTTGGATGGTGTTCGGTGGAAGCTATTGAAGTCTGCGATGCGAGTTCGATATACACTCCTCAACTGGCCGTGGATTCCATCGGCGATTTGATTGGATACCTATGCAGTGGAGGACTCCCAAAGGTGTATTCGTGGTCCTCATTCTAAACATGGACGACAAGAAATACCATCGCCACTTGTACATCAGGTGCTCTTGCGTGCCGCAGTGAGTTTTAACACACCTCTTCCAAGGCTACCTTTAGTTTTGTTGTTGTTTTTTTACAAGAAAGCAAAGCTCGCATGACTGCAACCGCAAAACGTTGAACTCTCTCGGATAAAGTGTAAACATTGCGGTTAGGCCTAAGGAAAAAGCGAATAAAAAATTACGGATAGCCGTTTGATCCTTTATTTTATTTCTTTCGAAGACGCTGGCACGTTTTCAAGTGCATGTAACCCAATTTAGCACCTGTTTTTGTGCACTTTAGTTTTTTGCTTCTGCAATCTTCTGAACGTTGTTTCCCGCTTAGACAAAGTGTGGCATTCTATGTATAGCTGTTAAAAGAACACATTATATTTTTATACATTAAGAGAAAAGATTAGGACAAAGTCCTAATGTTTAGTAAACACTACTGTTGAAAAGAAAAAAATAAAACATTAATTCTATTCTGATTGGTGATATATATTCGGTGATGACAACTTTAGAATTGTTTTACGTGGAATACCGGATTTGATTTCTTTTTTAAATAAAAACAAAAACTTGCTGTTTGGTATTAAAAAAAAATAAACTTCACATTTCCTGATGGATACATCGATAATTGGATATTAAAACTAATGGATCATCTTGTACAAAGCATGGATGTAGTATCTTCTTCAATTAAAATCCTAGGGAAAGGTGGTGGCAGTTACAGTTTACAGCGGTGGTGCAATTGGGATTGCAAATTAGCATTTGGTGTGTCTTCAAACAGTTTATTCGGTGCTTCTTCTTGCAGCAGCGATAACTGTGGTGTAAGAGTGAAAAACACAAATGATTTACTAAAGAAATCAGGGAAAATGTTACTATATTTGTTCATCCTGCTCTTACATGGTCCTGGACTCGTAAGCTGTGGTGAGTACAGTTATTTTACGAAAATGACGTCGCTATTTAATTTTTATATTTAAAATTAGAGAATAGTTGAAGATCACTGCAATTCTAATTTCGTTGTCATTAACACAGATATTTTCTTTGATATGAAACTGATGAACAACGATTGGTATATTTGGTACATTCACCGATTTCTTTTTGTAAGCACTGATATTTACTTTGTTATAAAATTCTTAATTTCCAGTTTATTATTATTATTTACCAGTTTTAACGATAAAACTAAGTATTTATGTTTGTCAAAATAGTGCATTCATTTGGAAAATAATAAATCGTGCAAATTATTATCAGGCAGTTTTAAATATAAAACAGGTTTGGTACTTTTACAGTTTTCACCCTTTGATAAATATCAATATTTATTTAATTTAAAGCCGAGGAATTAAAACTGAATATATATTTTTTGAAAATTTTCAAAATACTTACGAAAAGTCTATATATGAAAGGGATAAATACTTTCATATTTTTGCTGTGCCTTTAAATTTCTTTAATGTATTAATTTTTATTTTATTATTTAAAAAAAAGTATCATTTTATTGCACTGTTTTGTGAAAATGGCATTGTTGTTATGAGTTTAAATCACTCAAAATATGTCTGTAGTTTCATGTAAATTTTTTAATTTGGTGTAATTAAAATACGATGCGCAGCAGTTATAATTGGGTCTGGCGAACCGAAAAGTAATAATGTTTTTTAACACATTTCAAATGGATAATCAGTTCATCATAATAATAATTAAAATATGCTTATTATTATTATGGCCAAAAATGATAAAACTATGTGAGATATATGCATGGTATTTTGTAAGTAAACACAAATAAACAAAAAATCACTGGCTAAAACGTGACACTTCGGTGTGAGGAATGCCTATCATACTTATACTGTGGAAATTAATTGGGATGAAGTGATTTTTCCACAGAATTTTATGTTGCCAACAGGTCCTTCAAAGCAATTTTGTCTGCCTTAATGCTATCTGGATACCTGTTTTCGACTAATCAGACCATAAATTAAAATTAATGCACCAATTTTAATCTTGTTTCTGTGAGAAGAGGAAGTTACGTTTTGCATACTTCTCAAATACATTTTGTATCCATTCATTTTTGTGTACTAAAAATGAATATAACACCTACAAAGAGAGCAAATATTATCGCATTTATGATATATCTAGGATACATCAGTACTATATTGCTTCCGCGGCTGATGTTGGAAAATCGAACGTTTCTCGAATTATGAAAAGAGACAATGAAACTGGATAATTTTCTCCGGAAAGGAAGATCAAATGTGGAAGAAAAGGAAAACTGCTTAAAAATCTGATCGATTTTCCTACTCTAAAATAACATTATTAATCCAACGAAACCTAGGTAAGAACTTAAAAGAGATCTCTCTTCTTTTGGTATTTATAGTCATCCTTCTAATGTGCGGCGTAGACTTTTCACTGACGGTCGGAAAGCAGAAAATATAAATCTTTGACCGTAAATGACTGAAAAAATGTCATTTTCAGCGATGAGACTCATTTATTTGTTCATGATTACACATCTAACATTGTTAGACGAAAAGATGAATCATCAAGACCTCAACATGTCCAGTAAACCGTAAAATACCCTCAAAAACAGATGTTTTGGGAGAAGTCCAGTGTCTATTGACGGCATAAGGAATTCATCGAACTGTACATAAATATTAAAATCTAGGATTGTGCCATTCTGAAAAACTTTTGCAGGGCTATTCCAACATAACCGATCACTTGATATCGGATTCTCCCCCCCCCCCGGAGGACAGGAGGAATTTTAAAGGATATTTTTACCACAAAAGTAATATTGTGAAAATCACATGATATAATACTCTTTAAAAAATCCTGTAATAATACTCTTTAAAAATACTCTAATAGCACTCTTTAAAAAATACTCTAATAATACTTTAATAATACTCTTTTTTTCTCCTTTGTTAAATTTATAAAAATCGTTTTATCCACTAAAAATGAACAGTTTAATAAACGAATAGTTTTAACTCAGTCTGTTAATGCATTTATTTTTGTAGCAGTAGTAGTAAAAAGATGAAGATTTACAGCCAGGGTTTATCTCTTAATTCCTTAAGTATCTGAATCTGATTCATAATCTTGTATGCAGACCTTGAAATGTATTTTTCGTTACCGTTGCCTTGGCTGATAATCCCATTTAGGATTCTACACTTCTCGCGTCCCCGACAAAATTAACAGTATAAAAAAGAGCGAATGGAGGGTGTAAAAGACAAATTAAATACGCACATATAAAAAAAATATTCTCATTATTTGTGTCATTCATATTTTCCGAAAAAGGTCTTTGATATAAAAAGCAGTGTGATTTTTCTTTTACTAATTGTTTGCGCGGCTAGCCGCTAAAATAATTGTTATAAAAAAGAAAGAAAACTGTAATGATTTTAATGAATTTCTCTAACGTAATTTCACGGGTCTAGCTAGTAATTAATAATGATTGAAATAAATCTGCGTTTATTGCTTTTAAATAGCTGTTTTAATCAGTAACAGGCAGATTAAATTTAAAAGAAAAATGAGACATCTTACGTTACGCGAAATGTCAACGATCGCGTAGAAGTTAAAAATATTTTAACATCGATATACTCGTATCTTTAGAATTCTCGATAAAGTGATTAATGTTGCCATACTTTTTTATATTCGCTGTATTTTTTTAAATAATACATGACCATAATATTTGATGGTATATAACATACTTTTATTTGTGTTACCACATAATTTTTTATATAATTCGCTATATTATTTCTTTGAAAATAATACATAGAGATAAAATGTGGTTGCCAGCATCCTTTTATTTGTATAAAAAGTGAAGTTTGAGACTAAATAGCGGCTCTGCTGCTATTAGTAGTGAATATATAAATAGATAAAAATTAAGAATGCATTAGTTTGTTAATAACAAAATGAATTTGGAAGAAAAAGTAAATATCTCGCAGTCGCGTGAGAAGAATGAAATATATTAATTTCGACAGTGGCAAATGTTTCTTTAAATCAATAAGTTTGTTGATTAAATCCTGAATACGCATATATTGCGTTTTGCCGAATGGCAACACACTTCTTTTATACTGCTGAGTTTTTTGGTTACATTTGGAAATGCTTTGGAGAGTTCCAACAGAAAGCTTCTACATCGCTGAAATCTTAATCAGAAGTTCCTTAAACCGCACAAAATGCGAAATAAATTTAAAAAATAATAATAAAAATTTTGACTTCGTGGTGCAAACGCTCAGTTGAGGCGGAGCACTTCGTATGTTCAGAATTTAATAGCTCTAAATTCCATTATTTTTCCACAGTGCGAATGATGAACGACGTAATGAACACTTAATATTATTTGTATTTAATTTGCTTGTAATTAAACTTGTAAATGGCCCGTTGCTAATTTTAATCTTAGGATTTTATGCATAATAATTAATAATTTTATTTTCATCGTAATTAAAAGCATTCTAATAGATAAAATTTTTGCTCTCTTCTTTGGATTTTCATCTGTTTTTTTTGGGGGGGGGATTCTAAAATTGAATGACTCTAAATTTTAACCTCAATATATTTTCCATCAAAATCATGTTAAGCCGTATTATTATGCTTTTAAGTCTGATTTGACTGATTCTTCTGGAATCATGGCACCGCTTGTCGTGAAAGCCCCCCCCCCTTTTTTCATAGTTTAGAATTGGCAGGTCACGATTTACTGTCGAGATTAACAGTAGTTGCAAGAAAAGTTGAATTATTTATTCCCGTTGCACTTTATGTGTTTCCAAAGCCGCAGTTATGTAAGGAGCTAAAATCCCAACGTTTCGTTAATTTAACAGGTGTATAATAGAGTCACAGACATTACAATATAAATTTTTCCTACTTATATATCGACATATGTCAGATTCAAATAATGTCGGATTTAAGAAGATGGTTTATTCTGCCGCATTTTTTAAAATCAGAAAAGCTGTATCTGAATTTTCTCAGTGTTATTAATATTTTAACGCTTAATGACAAAATTGATGAAACTTTTAACGACTTGTGATATAAAGGTTAACATGTTTTCCCTATTTCCTGGCTTTTGAACTTGCTAGCTGCTTAACATATTTATCATAAGAAAGGAGAAAATACATAATGATTTTAATGAGTCCATCTAGTGATATCATAAAAATGTTTAATATTTCTAATTAGACAATTTATGGTTTAAAAGCGTATAAGGTATTTCTCCCGCTTTCCTAGCGTGCCTTCGTGGTGTAGTGGTTCTGCAAGCTGGGACGGTATTCCATAGGTCCGTGGTTCGATCTCCGGCGAAGGCGGTTGCTAATTTTTTATCTCTTCAGCTTTCAAAAATTACCTAATGTCTCTACAGTGGCGCCCGAACTAAAAGGGTGTTGGGTGAGGATTCTCCACACTCAGGATTTGGTGATTGGGTTCAAAAAAAATCCCAGTCGACCTTTAAAAAGGGGAGTATATAAGGTATTTCTCCCGGTTTCCTAGTGTGCTTTCGTGGCGTAGTGGTTCTGCACGCTGGGCCGGTATTCCAGAGGACCGTGATTCGATTCCCGGTGAAGGCGGTTGCTATTTGTTCATCTCTTCAGCTTCCAAAAATTACCTAATGTCTCTACAAGCGTTTTTATTCAAATCAATCAGATTAAAATATAGAAAACATTTACTTAAGTATTGCATTGCATTTAAATAATTTTTGTTGCTGTGGAAAAGGAAGACTAAAGTTTAACTATCTTAACGCTTTACGGAATAACACATTGCCGCGTGGAATATAAAAGTATTTTATTTTAGGGAATGGCAACACACTCCTTTTAAAAAGCCGAGGTATCTTAGATTAAAATTGAAAGATAAATAAATATCTTACATTTTGTTGAATGGCCATAGTCTCGCGGTGGAGATAAAAATGTTTTAATTCGAACAGCGATGCCACTGCTAGCTTTTAAATCACCGAATTTCATTAAATTTGGGCAAAGCATAATATAAAT